GTTGAAGTAAAAGAGTTTTCATTTTGAAGAAGGCATAATAATAAATTTGAATGAAAATTTAATGTATTAAGATCAGTCAAAGCACTCTAGAGGTATATACAACAAGTAATAGTCCAATTATCAACACTCAAGTGACAAAACTGAATTATACAGAGACTACAGAGCTGTATATACTAAGTTCAGGATTTCACAGAGTTAATTCCAAGCAAAACAGTCACAAACACGTCTTTAAAAAACACAAAAACTAGTACAATTATCACAGTTTGCAATATACAATATTAAAGAACACATGCAGAAGTTTTATATCAAGGTCTTTGACTCGAAATCAAGACAACCCTAAGATTCTAGACAATTCTTAGGGTTTTTGGACAAAAGAATTGCCTAGAAGAGTCTCAGACCCAAGTTTAAAAAACGTTTTACAAGAAAACATTAAAGTATAAGCAACAAATTTGTACAATCAAATGTAAGATTGAAACGAACTCACCAAGTCCCTTTATTAGGGTTTAAGGGAATAAAGAAAGCAAACTAAATCAGGAATTAATCTTTAAGATTTGTACAGATCGAAGCCAAGAACCACCGTATGAACGCTCTGATACCATTGTAACGATGAAGTTCAAAGAATTAGTCACTTTCATCCTAAAATAACAGAAAATAAATGTGCAAAAACAACAAGAAAAGATAAAGAACGCAAGACTTTTCGCCCTTAAGGCAAGAGGTTTAGAATCGGAGTTCCTAATCCCTTTTTGAGCTTCCGCCAACTAGAAGAAATCACTATATTAACCGGAACCAAACACTGTTCAAAAGTTACACTAGACACTTAGATGAAATCACCCAAGATTACATCAAAGAAGGAAAAAACCCTCAAACTGATCGAAACAGCAATCCACTCAATGATACAAAAATAGCCCTTTACAAATCACTCAAGATATACAAGGGACTATACAGATTATTGATCTAAAAGAAGGCTTCCAATTTTAGAGTGCAGAACAGAGAAGGCGAGAGAGTACATAGAACACGTAGAGAGAGAGAGAGAGAGAGAGAGTGAGTGAACAACCAACTCAAACTCAAACCCTTGTATATATGAGTCTCCAGAAAGTCTCCATCCAACGGTCATTGGGGTGACATCTTATCCATCCAGTTATAAGTAAAAAAGCATGAAGGTAAAAGCACGCTTATAACCAAATAAAACAGAAGCCACCAAGTTATCCAATAACAATAGTCCAGCCCAATAACAATAATCCAACAAGCAAACCAATAGATCGGCCCAACTCAATAATACAATCAGGTTCCGACAGCTCATCATTGTGTCATTTCTCCACAGATATCTACCCTTGAAGTAGAACTTTAGCAGGCTCGATCTAGAATTAACAAACTTCAAGAAGTACAACTTCAGCAATGGGAGTTGGTGCTTCAACTTCGGGTGCAACGGGGGATGCTGCTATTAATTCCACTTGTGGATAAACAGATTCTTTGTTACTCTTTTTCATACTTATTTTTATTCTTGTAATCCTTAAGTTTTACTTTGGTACCAGATGAACTTGAACGACCACAAAAAAATAAAAATAAAAATCTTTCGATAGAAGATGTGGATAAAAAACCAAAAAACTTTGCATAGTTACATTGGATGCTGTAGTTTATTGATTCATCATCCCACCTATATATGACATTTTGTTCCCTCATTTTGCTATATTTTGAAGAGTAAAATCATATGTAAATTGACAACGTCAAATTAGTTCATTTTGCTTGTTCAATGATAATTTTTCCTTTAAAATAACTCTGTCCGTGCGTTGCACAGGCAACAAACTAGTATTTATCAAAAGCGTTGATAGTCCTGAAAAGTTTTGGCAGAAGCATGATTTAATGCCAAATCATTTTCAAATATAATTAATAATTGACTCATTTTATTAAAAATCGACTCTACTGATGTAAATTTGATAAATGCGATATGTTTGCAGAAAAAAGAGTTGTCTTCATAAAACAATTGATTAATTTATTGAATATTAATTATTGGCTTAACTATTAAATTTTTCGTTTGGTAGTTTTTGATTCACTTAATTAAATACTTTTTTTTTTTTTTTTGAATTCACATGTAATACTTGATTGAGATTTGATGTCTTCTTGGCTGTCTCCTAATGCACTTTGACATCTTTTCATTTGCTAACAAAGTGATGCGTTGAAGTATCAAAAGTGTATTGAGAGAACAAGTTCGGAACAATGGATTTAAGCTCATAATGCTTACATTCCTACACAGTTTTCATTAATATCTTCGAGTAAAGTTACGGCACATATTAAATCCTCCAAATACTAGCAACTCTAATATGTAACACGAATAATGCCACTTGCACATAAAGAGTTACATAAAGTTCTATAGATCGATTACAACATCAAGAAATTTTCGTATAAAAGAAATACAGTATATTAGAAAGTGAAAATCGGTCAGATCTTTACCCAATTAAAGCATGAAGATAAAAGAGATGAAAGAGATCCACAATATTTTCGTAAACAAGCAAATCAAGACCATTTAACCATAGAATTTCACCGTATTATTTGTTCTGTAGCTCGTCTGACGTACATCAAGACAGGTAATAACCAAGATTCAAAGATAAATACCATACTTACTCCGTAGACAATTTATAATTTTACACATTTGACAATATAAAAACAAAATAAATTCGCGAAACTGTAAAGAGATGTACGACTTAGGTACAATCAGAATAAACAATCATTAAATGATCCATATGTTCAAAGAATTGACTCCAACATTCAACTGCAACATGCTCCTCCTTGAGACGGCACTCCCTCTCTTCCTGCTGAAGGTCCTGGAACTCCCCCATATCCAACTTTGATTCCATAAGACTGCAAAGTAAACCAAGGGAACAATATTTTAGTGCCAGAAGGGCATTCAAAGAAAGAAAGCACTTTTACAAACTAAATTTGTTAATGCATATAAATCCACTGTGTTTATGATGCACCCGAAAAACTACATCCTCTGATGGGTATGGAAATAGAGAGAAGAAAAAAAGATGTACAATCAAACCATCACGAGCTTGAGACATAGATGTGGTAGTAGTGCACAGCTAGATCCCTTAGTGCACCCACTCACAGATGGCAAAGCTAGTTGATGAAACTATTGAGGTGAAACTGAGATAATTACTAACTCAAAATATAATGTACCCATCTTCACTTTGATAAATAAAGCTGCTATCACTCTAAAAGTCTTTTTAAGTTAGATTTTCAGAGAAGTACTTTGTAGATGTGAGTACCTATTATATACAAATAGCTTAATATTTCTTGTTTAAATATTTTAAATATGAGTACATATTTGTTACTTATTAATAAGTGTGAGTTAAAAATATATAATATTTCTAATTAAAAAAAAATGATCATGGTAAAGTGTCTGAGAAATGTCGGTATTGGACACGTTTCGGATACAGACACACTATTCTAGTTAAAGTGTCCGTGCAAAAGAGTCTTTTAATATGGACATTGAAGATTCATATAATTCACAAGAAGTTTATGTCGAATGCGGCCAAGTTTGTTTTCTTTTTTTAGTATATCAAAACTATTAAGGTCGGTAGTAAGTAATGTCATCCTAACAAGTGAATGAAAATCCAAGACTGATAAGGACCACGTTATCGGAATTCTTTAATAGTCCTTTCTCACCAAAATTCAGTAACACAATTGAATTCAAGAAACTAATTTTGGAGTGTTAAATAACAAACCATATGATAATGCAAAACTGTCTGCATCCAAGTATAAATGGCATGGCTCTGTCAATTGCAAGCAACTAATGGCTCTTGCCGTGTTCCATCAACTGTACTCGTGACAATGAGCCCTTCAATGATGTTTCTCATTAAGGCCATTTTTGGATAGCTTAAAAATATAAAAATAACTTTTTTGTTTCCAAACATGTTTGGATAGCTTATTTCCTCAATTTTCAAGTGCAGAAAGTTACTTTTTTGAAGATAACTCTTACTTTAATGTCCAAGTAACCTTACCTATTTATAACTTTACCTTTTAATGAAGTTATTTATTTTAATACTTACTCATTTACATAGAGGAAATGTACTTATAAGTAAACCTTTCAAGCCAAACTCCCATCTGAACCATATGGCATCTCCCATTTGATAAGAGCAATGTATGTATGTGTGTGTATGTATATATATATATATATATATATATATATATATGACATAAGCAAATTTCAGGTGGTAATCAGAACATAACACACCTCATTTGATACATCAAAAACCCCATCTTGAATTTTCTTGTAGATAGTTGAGGCTGTTTTTATAAACGCCTGCAATCAAGGTGAACATAGAAATTATATCAAACATTCAACTATGTTTGTAAAGAACCATGTATAACAGATAACTGATGTACTATATATTGTGGCAACACACTGATTTCATCACCTCTTCAACATTCTGAGCTGTTTTGGCGGAGGCTTCCATGAATATCAAGCCATGTTCCCTGGCAAACTGCTCGCCCTCTTCTGTGCTTACAGCTCTTCTGTGAGCCAGATCACATTTGTTTCCTATCAGCATTATGGACATGTTTGCATTTGCATGCTGCCTCGCATCTTCCAACCAACTAGCAAGGTGGTTAAAAGTTTCCCTCCTGAATATAACAACAAAGGCATACCATCGGCACACAAAAAAATTCACATTTCCACTGGGAGAATCAAGACGGGAACCGCCAGCGTACATAAAACATACCAACTTCAAATCTGCACAAGCCTATATTTTTCATAGAATGTTGGGTTTCTCTACGGCATTTACTCAAGTATAAATACACATATTCTAATTATTTGCTCAAAATCATATAATACAGTGTGCTTCAACATTCCACAACTCTGAGTTAAATGCCTCGCGTCTAATAAAGAAATTGGTTTCCATGACTCAAGATGGACACCTTATGAAAGCACACCAAAACTTACGAACTGGTTCATCCATCAATATATCATTCACTTCTACTTTCCCACCATTCTCGAAATTAAATGGGAAAACACTACAGAAATCTAATGTTTTGTGCGCAGAGGATCTTTATTAAATTCTAAAAGAACATTTGATTGACAAAAGGTAAGTCATGTGGCTCAAGATGAATGTTGGGGATGTTTACAGAGATTCAAATAGCAACAGTACCTTGTGATATCATAAACTAAAAGTGCCCCAGCAGCACCTCTGTAGTAAGACCTCGTAATAGACCTGAATGATTCTTGGCCCGCCTGAAATAATGAGGAATAACTTTGGTTACAGATGCAGCAATTTCTATTGAAGTATAAACCATTGTAGAGAAGATAAATTTTGGAAAGAAAAAATTATTTAGGACTCAAAGATGTTATATTATTTCAATTCACTAGCTGACAACAACTTTGCAGGTATAGGAAAATGAAGGCCCGCAAGGATACCGAATTAGAAAAGGCACAGAAAACGGAGGCAAAAGAAAAGTCTAAACGAACCGTGTCCCAAATCTGTAACTTTATTGGTTTGTTGTCAATTGTGATCATTCTAGCCCCAAACTCAACGCCAATGGTCAAGTCGTGGACTGGCTGAAAGCGTTTGTCAGTGAACTGCAGAAGAAGACAAGATTTCCCAACACCTGAGAAACATGTTAAACTCATGAGTTATACTATGCATTCAAATGGTCCTGGTTTAAATAAAATCAATAAATTGACTCTCCATGAGATGTAGGGTTTAAGGATTGATACCTCCCCCACCACTCCCCCTAAAAAAAAAAAAAAACTGGATGTTGACCAACGAATTTAGGAGAAACATAACAGGAATAGACCCATGATAATTGTTCATAAGATTGCCAGAAGAATATGATCTGAATTACACGACACATACGCATATTTCGAACATACTCTTTGGCCACATAGGATCTATAACCGTCCAACTCCATAACCAATAGAAGCCATTGCAGGCCAGGTTCTAAATTTTAGATCCGAGTCCGACCAACAAAAGCCAAGAATAATCAATCAATATCATTACAAAAATAAAATAATCTAAAATCGATAAAGCAGTAATCATTAACCGAATATAAGGATAAAAGACAAAAATATATACCTGTGTCTCCGATGATAATGTACTTGAATAAATAAGCGTACGACATCGCTCCACAAATCTTCAATTCCCAGAATTATCTTGCGTAAAACACGTAAAAGGAATAGAGATCCAGAAAACAGTTAAAAGAAGAATAGAAATACCGATTGAAAAAGCAATTATGAAAAGAATTTGAGAGAGCGTGGAAGAGGGAAATTGGAGAGGGGGCAACAACCTCTATTCCTTCTTCCCTTCAGTTTTCTTCCGTTAAAGAGAGTAAAAGATATGTCAAATTCAAAATAGGCGTTTGGATAAATAATAATGTTGTGAGTTGTCATAAAATATATAACTAAAAATAATTATTAATTTTGACGTGAATTCGGTCATAACACCTTAACCCTTGCCCTAGGTCTTTCTGGTATCAGAGCCATAAGTGTATGTTGTGAGAAAATTGGGTCAAACCACTGTTGTTACTGTGTCAAAGGTTAAACTTGTGTGTAGCCATGGATATCTGTTGAATAGACGTTGGTCAGCCCGTTTGTGCCCGGGTAGGCGATTAGGACGGTCCCGTTTGTAGGCTTTGGTCAAGCATTGGTGTAGCCTGTAGCACTGTGATAAGATTATTGTTTTTCTTTGCATCATATAATTATGTCTTTTTTATTAAATTGATTTAGTACAGGTGGTAGTTCAAAAGAAGGTTCTAGTAGTATGTCAAATTATTTTTAAGAAAATGAAAATGAGATTGGTGATCAAAATCATGCATATGCATCTGTATCAAGCAATATTTCAAATGAAATTAATTCAAAAGAGCTTCAAATTGCAAAAATTGAACAAA